TCCGTCGATGGTGTCTGGCACCGCCGCCAAATGAGCCATCTTGTTCAACCGGTCGACGGATACCACGACACCCGTGTTTGGCCTGTCGAAAGATTCGGCAGGCCAAACACAAGTCCAAACTCATGGACTGCCAGCACCCAGTGGGCATCGGTAAGCTGGCCAGCAGCGCGGCCGCATTTGAAGTGGGTTTTGCCCGTTGACACGTCGCACATAAGCGCTCGTCCATTTGTACAACTTGGTCCACCAATAGTGGTGACTCACAGAGTTGTACGTTTTCTTACGACCGACATGGCCACTGAGTGGCGTGTCGTGAGCCTCATAGGGGATGCAGTATTTCAAATTCTCATAATGAGAAGCCACAATTCGTGATGTATCCGTTGAATCGGTACTATAATATTGCAAACCATTATTCAACGAATATCGGTGCAATCGTGCACGCAGGCTTGATGACAATTTCTTCTTTTGAGTTTCGAAACTCCTCGCTCCCGATCGCCCTCGCAACGCTACACACATCCCATCACCCGCATACGCGGTGCAGATCAAATCCGTCACAGACGACGTTACAGCTGTAAATTGAGCAAACTCATAGTCTGGCCTGCGTGACAACGCATCAGCCAAAGCTTTCTGCTTTCCCGGCTTATACGTCACCTCGAAGTTGTATTCCGCAAAAACGCATAGCCATCTAGCCATCCTCTGCGAGAGGCGGGGTGTATCATCAGTTTCATATTCAAAACATAACATCCCTCTCGCTGTGTGCACTTCGAGCGGGAAAATAGGGATCGGTGGTCATGACCGAAGACTGAATTACTTACCGAACGTTGAATCATTCGGCAACGCAGCAGTTTAGGCCGAGTTGTGCTTTACATGACTTTATTTTGAAGATTAATTTGTCCGTAACTGCGCACAGCAGGGTGATGAAAAGAAGGCATTTTATTAAACACTTACAAGAGTGATAGGCTTGATCATCGGTTTGCCAACGTTGATAAGTTTGATAGCGCGCCGATTTCCTTTCTTGAGAGCATTTTCTGCAGGCAGATTCCTTGATTATCAACTACATACATTGACCGGTCTATGTATGCAGAGATTGGCTTTTTAATCTTAGGTGGCCTCACACTATTGAACAAAATGACATGGTGTAGAGAACCTACAGATGTGGTGATCATTTTCATAAGAACTACTTTTTAAGTGGCATAAATAAGGCTTTTATAGGATCACTTCAACTATGAATTTGTCGCTGACCCACGTGCTGTCTGGGGACGAAGCCTCGATATGTGTGACTCAACTATCGGAGCTATTCAAGCATTGCTTTTGCAGACCACCAGCGGGTGTTGCCCGCGCCCCTGGTCGCGTAAATCTCATTGGGGAACACGTGGACTACGAGGGCTACTCGGTGTTGCCAATGGCCATTGACCAGAGCATTCACGTGGCATTTAATGTGGTAAAAAGTAGTAGTAGACATCCAGAAATGATGGTCATACGTATCATGAATGCTGAGCCACAGTACGAACCTGTCTTATCTTCCCTGGACGGGCAGAAGTTTGAGGAGGTGGGGTCAACGTGGGCCAAATACGTGCTGTGTGGTGTTCTAGGGCTTCGTGATGCTTGGCCAGACTATTTCAATGACAAAGTAAAAGAGCTGCAAATGCTTGTCGATGGCAGTATTCCTGCTGGCTGTGGCTTGTCAAGCTCCAGTGCGTTAGTTGTTGCGTCTGCGTTAGCTACAAGTTGCGCGCTTCAGATTCCGATGACGCGGTTGGAGCTAGCCGAGCTTTGCACACGAGCAGAGCAGCGTGTAGGGACGATGGGAGGCGGCATGGACCAAGCGGTGGCATGTTTGGCTCAGCGTGGCGTGGCACTGCATCTTAATTTCTTAACTCTTCCTGCTAGGAGTGAACCAGTTGTAGTTCCGAGTGCCAATGCCGGAGTAACTTTTGTCGTTGCCAACAGCCTAGTTGTAGCGAAAAAGGCTGTTGATGCCGCAAAAAGGTACAACAAACGCGTTGTAGAATGCGCTCTTGCTTCAAAGATAATTGCAAAAAAAGCGGGGCTTGACGACTGGAGCGAGGTTGGTTTTGCTCTTTCTTGTACTGTAATGCCTAACGAAATATAGTTCTAACAAATGAGCATGTAAGAAACACAGATGACCCGCCTTGTGGATGTTCAGTTGGCACTCAAGATTTTTGACGGCGAACAATCATTTAATGAACTGAAAGCTCTTGCATTGACATTTTGCCCGTTAGAAGAAAATACAATTGCTGAGATTGAAGGCGAGCTGGAGGGTCCAGTCTTAAATTTTTTTATTGGATCTGCAATGGAGGCTGCCATAATGGTAGGTGCGACTTGCGCAATGCTTTATATTTGGTTTTCACAGCTAAATCTGCGACTGTATGCAGGCAGTTCTTGCTTCAAATTCAAAATTTAAGTTGCATCAGAGGGCGCTGCATGTATGGGGCGAAGCTGAGCGAGTGAAGCATTTCAAAAAAATTTGTGCTTCAATTGCAGACGAGACTCCGTTGAATTGTGTTGCCTTGTCAAAGCAATTGCAAAATCTTGGCGAGATAATGACAGCGAGTCACAAAAGTTGCCAAAATCTTTACGAGTGCAGCTGTCCAGAATTGAATGATCTGGTCGATGTCGCGTTGTCTGCCGGTGCATTAGGAGCACGGCTTACTGGTGCTGGATGGGGAGGATGTATCGTTGCGCTCGTGCGAAAAGCTGAAGTGATCAATTTTACGAATGCATTACAGTCGAGCTACTACATGGGGCGAGAAATATCGTCGCTTGACGCTTCGAAAACAATTTTTGAAACAAACCCTGCGCCTGGGGCAAACGTTTTCATTTTAAAATAATCACAATGGTCTACGGTGCCAAAATCGAGCGCAATTTATCAAGATAAATATCCTTTGCCTGAAGCTCGACATCCATCAGTGCGAGCTATAACAGTGTATAAGACATACTTAAGCTCGCCGCCGGTGTCACCGTATTAATAGCTCAAACTACATACCTCAGCTTTCCTCGTCGCTTTTTTTGCTGGTGTCATCGAGTTTTTAAAAAGTTTGTAGTGGCGCTTCATGTCAGACAAAACTTTTCGACGATCAGAAATTTGTAATGCATAAAGCTCAATCTCTTCTTGAATCTAATCCAGCGGCCAGAAGAAATGTAACGGATCTCAATATAATTTCATCGCTCAATCGATTTCGTACCTCAACTGTCGCAGCTAAGTGATCAAGCTCTAAGATGATTCTGAAGTAAGTATAATTTTTCTAAAAGAAGGATCTCTCGATCAGTTTTGACCGAAATGCAAGAGTGTTAATATCACAAACTTACATGTATCGTTTCGAAAGCCTTCTTCATTACAGGTCGAATTTGGACCCAGCAAGGTGATACGATTTCAGAACTTTTGCACGGAATCACTCCAATGTCCACGGTATCCTACCAAGGACAAATGTTAGATAATGATCACGGCAAAAAAATAGTGCGTTAGCGCACTTTCGGTCGCAAGAACAACACACGCTGATCGATAAGGTCTAGAAACTTCTGTTCGCCCTCTTTGCGATAATTAAACGGTAACAGAGCTACTATGGGATTTATGCAATTGTGTGGCGTCTTGTCTTTCTGATTTAGAATTTGTTGTGGTAAATTGATGAGAGAATTGCCGCCTGTTACTGGCGTCATCTGACTCACACTTTCAAGACATTTCCAACACTCCAGCGCACGTAAAGCTTTTGACGTCTCTGATGATGTAGAGGGTGCGTTCTCTCCAAGAACAAATTTATCACTGGCAGGGAACTTACGAGAACACAGGTTCATGTCTAAGTGTAATGCTTCCAATAAGTTGACTTGAGTTTCCTGAACGAAGTTGCTACACACGTCCTGGATAAGAGTTAGTCGATCTTCTTCATCCGCTAAGTCGTTTAAATTGTTTTGCTTTAAGCGTTGGCAAATTTCATCAATATCGCTCCACCAATTTCCAGTTGTCTTCAAAATATAATCCGGCCCTGCAACACGCTTAGTATGACTTTCTATCGCAACTGTCCCGTGGTGATCCCCATAAGCTGTTGTAGTTTCAAACGTGTGCTTGCAAGAATATAAGTCTAAACCATGCAAATCCTACAAACGAGATCATTAGGCCGTACAAGCTCGATATGTGGAGCAGTGTATAAATTACATTACCGATAAATCACGCAGCTTTTCCTCGGCTGAAGAAGAATCAACTAGGCCATAAGCAGGACGCAATAATATACCAACAAAATCTCGAACATCCTCAAAATCACCACTTGCAAGCCAGCGCTCTTGAATCCGTTGAATCTTAGCAGGAGTAACACAGGAAGTAGTTAAGAATATTACGTAAGCTAATTCGTCATGCAAGACGTGACAGGTCCACCGAAGCCAGCGCTCGAGTTCCCGGTCGTCTAGAATGTCAAAATCCCGCAACAAAAACACAAGATGACCACCATCTTGACCAGTCATTGAAATCTTCGATGCACTAGCCCGATACTTTGCATTTTCAGCACCAGTTCCACGCAAATCGCGAAGTGCATCCAGCAATGCGTCCATCATTTCGTCTTCACCATTTGATTGCATTCCGCCACGAGAATAAAAAATCCTCAATAATTGTTCATACAGTGCATTCATCACAATCGAATAATATTTCGCGATTTGGTATATTGCAAAATCTAACTTTGATGTCGGTAGCATCAGTCTGTCCAATGTATTGCGTGTTGGCTCATAGCAAGACCCCAATACTTTTGCACCTACAAGAAGTCTGGTAGTTATCTGAGTGTCTCGCAAACAGATGAAGATAGTATAATCACGTACTTATTTGTAACAATCGATGGATTATCACCTGCCGAGATTGACAACACATATGGGAACTTCGGTGGCTCAGTTCCCAGCCAAGCAGAGGCACTTAGACTGGAGTGGTCAGTTTTTTGCTTCAATGTACATTTGCTGACCCACTTGAGCAAATGTTGCTTTGCATAGACAGTCTTGTTTGATTTGTCGTAGTACTGAGCCACTTCTCCAACAGCCAAAGCAGCTAGAGGCGTTAGAGACGCTGCCACCTTTAAACGGAACATGTATATATTAATTACTAAAGTTTTCAATGCTGTAATTTGTGTTGTGAATAGTCAAGGAATTAGAATTAAACAGGTTAAAATTAATGGACTGGGAGGGGATATCACTGTTGCGCAGTTTAATTTATTCTTTTTTTCTCCTCGGAGTGGCACATGATGTCTTTTTACTGAGACTGCTTTATTGTCTCAGTGTGAATTCCTCGTTTCTGACGAATCCACTGAATAAGTGGCCTCCATGAGACCAATTTAAGACATAACCGACTGATGCCTTCTCTTTATTGATTTTTAATTGTCCCTCTTTAATACCACCTCCTAATGAGTTTTATGTTTACGTACGTGTACGATTACAATTAGCTCCTTCTCATCTGACAAATACGAAGGAAGGGTGCTTAGTATTGAAGATGACGGATCCGTCCACTAGCACCGAGTATAAATTCAGCATCCTCTTCGATTGGACGCGGATCTTCGCTAGGTCTTACTTCTTGTCGTCTGGCGCTTGCCAGACGAAAGGGTGGCACCACGAACGAGCTGCGCTCAAAAGAGCTCCTGCTATACGTCGTAGAAATGTCGGATGGAGTGCCCTCCAATTCAAAATCGTATTCATCAAGTGAAGAAAGACGACCGCCTACTCGACCTTCGCCCTGGCGGCTGTCACTTGGAAGTCCCACAATCGGAAGACCCAACATCTCGTTGTTTGGAGGACTGCACTCCTCAACCCCACTGCCTCGAGAAATTAGCATACTCATACTCTCTGGACCTGCATAAGGAGACGCAAACTTGTGAAAATGTTCATTGTCATGGTGATCGTGGTATTCCCCACTTATAGCACTGCTACTGCTACTGCGGGCAGAGAATCGGCCACGAAAAAAGTTAGTAATGCGCTGGCCAAGCAGCGAGCTGGGGCGATGATCCAAATCTGATGAACCATCGCCGTTTTGCACTGACGAAAACATGCTATTTGTGTACTCAGAACCAGAC